AGAAAGTAAATTAATTAATGCTAACTTGTAGACAGAATTTCCTTATCTACAGGATTTCCCCGCACATTCCAAGAGAATCTGTGCCTTGTGAAATACAAGAGAGGGACCCCAACTTGGCCCAAGATACAAGATACAAGATACAAGATAACGAGAACCGAATAGCATATGCACGATGGCCAACGAAAAATACACACCGTGCGAAGCAAGATCCAACGCGTACGGCATAAACTTAGATTAGTTGGTGCAAATGAGTAAACTGACTACGACGTCCACCAAAACACGATTAAATCAATGATTAAATCGCCATTGTGTCGCCACTTGCACGGCTCTGGCACCTATAAAATGCCGAAATGCATCGAAGTTTCAAAGAAATAATGAAACACCGTAAGAATGTAACCTGTAACAATCAAAGATTGAAAAGGCTGTATAATAAACTGAAACATGGTTTAACGGCTCTATTATATTCGGTACGTAAAATAAAACCCCTGATTAACCCATCATATACTTATTCTTTACCGTTTCGGCACATTTCGGACTTTCATATGTTTGAAGGGCTGTCTGTGTCACGTGGCAGTCTTGTCCATGCAAAATCATCATGGCCGCCCCCTCTAAAAAACGTGCGATTGCTGAACGTATGGAGATTGATGCAGATAATAACGACAGTGGAAATTCAAATAGCGATGAAGGCGTGAAAACGGAAGGCAGCGAAGATGAAGCAATTGGACAAGTAAGACTGATTGTGAGTAGCTCTAGTAACGCAGATGGGGTCGTTGTCGTATCGGGTACTACATACAGTCCACATGATATGGGTACAACTACAACTACAAGTAGCGTTTACACACCCATGTCGTGAGTTTGGTTAGGGTTAGGGTTAGGGTTAGGGTTTTTAAACCTGGGGTTGTCAAATAGGAATGGGCCCAGATGTGTACCCGGGCCGGTAGTTTTAGGTTGTTTAGTATTAAACTAGGTAAACTATTAGTATTACTATTAGTATTATGTTTATATTTTTACATGAGGTATGTTTAGGGTTAGGGTTAGAGTTAGTGTTAGGGTTAGGGTACACTTCTGTAGTACAAGTCTGGTACACTTTGTGTATACATAATATCAATATGTACCTCGGGTACATATCTGTAGTACCAAGAGTAGATAATAATTAATATAACATATTGGTAGTACCTGATACGACAACGACCCCTTGAGCTCTAGTAACTATAGCCTGCGTACGGTTGCCGCCAGTGGCAACCGTACGGGGGCTATAGTTACGCTCATAGCACAGGCACTTGGAACGTCTCAATAAAATACAAAAATGTAAACACGAAATGTATTTACTACCAAAGTCTTAATGTTTCTCTACTCTATTTCGCCTATAATTAGCTCTAGTAGTAGTACTGTAATCACCTGTAAATGCCAGTCAAATGCTCATCTGCAACACACAAGTACACTGCACGCCCGTGCTGTGCACAAACAACATGAATAAGAGAGTCATGTTGTTCATGTTATTCATGTTATTCATGTCTCTCTTATTTATGTTGTTTGTGCACAGCGCGGGCGTGCGGTGTACTTGTGTGTTTCAGATGAGCATTTAACCGGCATTTACAGGTGATTATAGGCGAAATAGAGTAGAGAAACATTTAGTCCATTTGATTTGCTTCCCCAGAGCCACCTGGGTTAACCTGGTACGAAATAGAACGCATCTGGGTTAGGGAAGATAAACGAACGGTTTTTGGGTTAACCCGGGTTAATTATCATCATGGATGTCAGTGACCAGAAAAAAAAAGAATAGCAATTGCAATCTAAGAATGAGCAAACACACGCAGTCATTGACAGGCATGCTTCATTACTACTGCTACATTCATGCAATTCCCGCACTGATATATCGTCGCCATGCATGGTGTCGTTGCAATGGATTGTGGGATGCTTCCCCAAGCCCCCCCAAGTGAGCGACTCGGCTAGCGGGTTACTTCGGCCTCACCCGGGTTGACCCGGGCTAATGCAAATCAATACCACAGTTGACTGCCACAAATCAAATCGTATTTGGCGGCTGTGGCGGCGTTGATATTAGCAGTGAATTTCACGACCCCAAGTACTAACTTGGGAAGCAAATCGAGACTTCCGCGGGTCCTAATTTAAGAGACTTTTGTGTTTCGTTAGTTAAAATAGTTCAGTGTCGTGTTTACACTTTTTTACTTCATGCTACTTAAATCAGACATAAATCGCCCAATAGATTGTGCCGCTGCGTCCGTCTGTGCGTCCCGCGTTCTCAACAGTTTGGCACAAATCTATATCACTCGATTGGTGCGTCGGGTACTTATATGTTGGCTTTGTGTAGCATCCGCGATGACGTTTGGACGTGGCGGTGGAGTGTGGGGGGGGTGGGGGGGTAATCCTGAAAACGCAGTTGGGTGTCGTATGTCGTTAAGCTGGTTGGGGTCAGAGAGCCGTTCAAGAGTCAGAGGTCTGGATACTTGTAAAGAAGCGGCTGTGGGAACATTTCCCTCCTTAAAACTTAAGCGTATAGGGAGGAAATGCCAGAATTGCCGCACAAATCTAAACGGCTCGACCTAGGCTCGTGAAGTCGAGTGTATAGCCACATGCGTAGGCAAAAAGCCATCACTGTGCCGAAATTGAGGTCAGGTCAAAGTCAATGGGGCATTCAGGCAGATTTTAGGACATTTTCTGAGGAGATGCGTTCTGACGGACGCCGATTGAAAAACTTTTTATATTCAACAAGTGTGACCCCTAGCATTTATGCTTAGTAAAGCGTACCATGAAAATGTACTTTCCTGCTGAACATCGAAGAGTAAGTGTCCGATAACCCTTTTGACCTCCGAGGAGGTAAACGATTTGCTTGACTTTTAACAAAGGACTGAATGCTCTTTTGCTATTTGATGGATGTGAGCCTACAGTTGCCCACATTCAATTGCAAAGGCAATATGTTGTTGAACCAAGTTACGCCTCCTTAAATTCATAGTATTTTCTAAAAGAGGCTTATAGCACCCTTGAGTAGCACCCTGTACACTTATAGCCCACACTGGTAATGCAACCCTGAATGGCTCGCGTGGGGTAGCGCAATACATGGGCGCAGCCCATTACGTATGCATGGGCGTGAACTGCACTATTCTAATCATAATTATTGCCTGGCAACCTGCCAATGCAGATGTGCTTAACTCACACCGCCTGAGCGAAAATTCCGCCTAGCCTGAATATACTTGGAGATTCAGCAACCTTCAATGGATGCTGACGTTATCACCACGAAGTGTGATGCCATCTTTGATTGATTGATGACACTTGCACGCACCATCTCGCAGCAACTCGTTTTCTATTAGACCCTCTCCACCCGCCCTCCCCCCCACTCTCCCCCTACCACCACGCACTACCGCTCTGCGCTCGACGCATATCCATGATAAATAACATGTTAAATTAAGCGAAGTTATAAAGTACACAGCTGTTATACTTATTTACAGCTACTACCGGATAAGCAAAGCCTTAGCTATCATAGATTTTAGATTTGTCATTACAAGTTATCCTAGCGATATGCTTCTGAGGCTCGAACGCGGAATGGGCGATTAATTGGTATTGGTTCAAGTTTAATCCTGGTGATGGGCAGGCGAGGTGCTCGCTCCATTAGCACGCTGATGCTCGACTATCGTGCTCTACGGACTATGTGTGTAATTTTATTGAGGTACGTTCATAAAAGATAAAGTGCCTACTGGGCGTATAGGGTCTGCCGAAACGTACCCTGTAACTAAATCTGCATCCCAGGGTTAGGCGTTAGGTGAGTAGGCGTAGGCGACGTGCCGTAGACTCTCGTTAGGGCATGCAGAGGTGGTAACGGGTCCGGCATATAAATGACGCGCGAAATGCCTTATTGATCAAAAGCGCCCAACGAGAGTTTAAACGCAAGTATTGTTGCCTCTGAATAGATGGCGCCACTACGCTAGTATTACGTGGAGTTTTATTCAGCGACTGTGTATATTATTATGTTATCGGTAGTTATGCCGCCATGTATATATATGTAAACATAATAATATAGACTGGTTTAAGCAGGGATTTGACCAGTACCTTTATACTAGGTGTAGGTTGAGTAGGAAGTAATATTCATATAGGAATACCTTCAAATGAGTATATATGATGAAATGTGTAGCTGTACACCTGTAATTGAGATACCTTGATTACTATAAAGTGAGATAATTAAGCCATTGCTCTCACGACGATATACAACAGTGCACGTTTGAGCTTTCTGGTCACCGTACTGGTAGATCTTGCGTGCTATAGCTCCGGGCGCTGGAATGCTAAAATGCGTGTCACACAGAACACGCAGATTCGACGCTTAGGCTTAGGCACGCTCCCTTTGCTATTAATATAGACTCGGACTGGGCTGTGGACAGGTATGACCACCGGCTCGACAGTTCCACACCGCATATCCAACAAAGGTCTTTTAGCCAGCGAGACTGGGTAGCAGGTCATATCGTTAGAGCGCGTTTTTACAATGTTTCGCTAATTCACTTTACAGACCGAACAATGCCGTTCACAAGGTCTTTTAATAATACGGTTTTTTACAGTGAGCGAAACAACCCGATATTTCGAATTGACGAACAACATGGAACACTACACGGGCTAGTTCACACGACAATCACATACGCGGCCAGGTCCGTGCCCGAATATACGCGGGTAGTTGGCGCGAATATTGATTCGCGATCGCTTCAGCAAGCCGGCAACCGCTAAGCATAAGCCGTGGCGATAAAGCAATCCGCCGTATATTCTTAGCGTCGTAGTCCGTTGAACGCAACGAAAAACTCTTCGTGTGAACGAGCGTTAATACTGTAGATATAAGCAAGTATGATATTTTTATAGTAATTACAAATCATATATATATATAAGTAAAGTCACACACGAACACCCGTGTAGATAAAAACAAAGTCAAGGTATAGAATAAGGGTGTTTAAAGTTTAATTGACGAGCTTTCGAGATTACATCTCTTTATCAGGTCAGCAGACATTGGAATAGAATCCAACATTCATAGATTCTATTCCAATGTCTGCTGACCTGATGAAAAGATGTAATCTCGATAGCTCGTCAATTAAACTTTAAACGCCCTTATTCTATACCTTGACTTTGTTTATATATATGTATACATTTTCTGATAATAATGAAATTTAATGCTTATTTCTCAGGAAATGTGAGGATGAATTTTGGCCGTAGTCTGTTGAAAAATGTTAACTGTGATTGGATTGTTTTGAAGAATTTTATAATTATCAATTAACAAATTTTTGATGTGCAGGATTGAAGGGTGATATAGGTTAAAACCAATGGACATCTGTCTGACGTTTTATTCACGCCGTCTTTTCTAGGGTTATTAAAGTGATTTATTACGTCACCGTAAATAGTAAAAAATAAAAAAAATACTTCCACTTTTTCACAAAATATGGTGGGTGGGTGGGTGTGTGTGTGGGTGTGCGTTCGTGCGTGCGTGCGTGCGTGCGTGCGTGTGTGTGTGTGCGTGTGACTGCGTGCGTGCGTGTGTGTGTGTTTGTGTGTTTGTGTATGGGTACAAATATAAAACTAACTAGAGCACTCGGAGAGCGCAGACCTCCGCCAAGGCAGCTCAATTCTCTCACTGAAAAATTTAATTAATTGGATCCGGATCACCACCAAAATGTAATCAATTCTAAGTTACCCCATTTTTGACCTATCCTGAAAATTTTATTAATCAATTGGATCCGGATCACCACCAAAATCTAATCAATTCTAAGTTAGCCCATTTCTGACCTATCCTGAAAATGTTAGGCCAATCTGTCCATAACTTTTTTAATTAGGCTGTACACAAACAAACAAACACAAACCCACAAACCAACAAACACACGCCGGTGAAAACATAACCTCCTGCCAACCCCTTGGCGGAGGTAATAATACTAAATAATAATAATAATAATATTACGTTTTATTAAATAGCTTACAGACTACTAAGTACTATTCTATTCTACAACAACATGGGTATATAAGTCAGTACATGCCATGTTCTATTATATTGTCAGGAGTCTATCAATATTGATAGACTCTTGATATTGTGTATTACAACTTGTGTTGTTAGCTATCCATGACCTGTCAAGTTTAACTCTAAGGAACATGCAAATGAGCCATTACTTTTATTTTCAAGCTTTACATATTTACCTCCGCGCAACGGAGTTGCAGGGAGGTAATGTAATCGCTCTCGTGTGTGTGTTCGTGTGTGTGTTCGTGTGTGTGTTCGTGTGTGTGTTCGTGTGTGTGTGTGTTCGTGTGTGTGTTCGTGTGTGTGTTCGTGTGTGTGTGTAGCGTTGGCGCGATCGATTCAGCACCAGCTCGCCTTAGGGCGTCCAGTCAGCAGCAGCGAGCCTTAGGGGCAGGGCGTCCAGTCAGCAGCAGCCAGCAGCGAGCCAGCTGTTATACACATGTACGCTCGCGGAGGTATGCACTCTCTTTGAGTGCCCTCTGTCTAGTTTACTAAGTTTTGCTTCAGAAAAATACTATTACCTACAAATAGTACAATATAATATATATAGTATCATAATGGTGATTGTTGTTTTTTTGACTTTAGGAAATAGTGGTAGATTTTGAAGCAAGAGCACCAGATGACAGTGATTTCCATGGAGTCAAAAAGTTGCTCATACAGGTAAAAACCGTGGAACAATATTGCCTTTATAGTTTGTAGTTTGTATTAGCTGCCACTCCACGTGTGCATCAATATAATGCGAAACACCATATATACAAATACTGTGTGCATGTGTTGCATAAAGCTGCTTCAACTCCATAAAAATAGTAGCTTTGAGGTTATAATTACTCGGTATAACATTCTGGTTTGAAATGTACTTAAATCAGTTTCACATGATTTAAGGCAAATTTGTATCGACAAAGTGATACCTTAAATAGCTTGTCGCAATGGGATTCGGCACCCATTCAAGCCCTACATTTCTGGCCTTTCTACTTGCATGACAATTCGTGCCAATGCTTTTGTGTGCATTCGTGGGGTTCCAAATAAAACAATTTGTTTTAATACAGTTGAAGCATTTCATGATTATAAAATGTAAGGTAATGTAAGAATTTGATCATTTTGAATTGAGTTGTCAACTAACGCTGATAGGGTCTATGTCTCCCTGGGTACTGCCGGAACGTACCCTGGGTACGGTCCGCCTCCGGTATATCGGAACATACCCTGGTAACTATCTGATATGATTAGGGTTAGGGTTAGGGAGTAAGCGTAGGCGTAGGCGACTCCCTAGACTCGTTAGTGGAGTAGGCGAGGTACGGTCCGGCATATTAGATAGTACCAGGGTACGTTCCGGCAGTACCCAGGGAGACATAGACCCTGGCAGACATCTGTTGTGTATATGACACTATGTATCTCAACATTTCTTTTAAAATATAATTTGGAGGCATTAGGAGTTGATACCACTTTAACATGGTGCAGCTGCATTTGTTGTTAATTAGCAGCTTCATGCATGATTGCCGAGTCAGCCTATTTTGCAATTTACTTTTGATCTTTTCTAGTTGTTTCAGAAAGCCCACGTCAATACATCAGCCATAGCTGATATGATAATTGGACAGAATTATGTGGGAAGCATAATAAAGGTTATTATTTTACTTCATTTTGCTCAGGCAAACTATCTTATATTAGTATACACAGTATTTTGATGATTAGTATGTAAAGAATATAATAATATAATAATAGTTATTTATTTATTAACTATGATTGTAAACATCATATCTAAACAAACATGATTACAGAAGGAATTTAATGCAGTAATTTGACCCCTTCTTGGTAATGTCTAAAGTCGTGACAATGACAAAGTTATGCCACATAAGGGCTCTAAAAAGTGAAGAGTGTTATTTTGCATATTTCAGCAAACTGAAGTGGTTGAAGAGGATGATGATGAGGATGGAGATGATGAAATCAACATTTTTGGAGTTGCTTCTGTGATCAACATTTCAGAGAAAAAAGTACGTATCCGGGAGAAAGCTACCTGCAACCTGTTTGTTGTAATCAAAAAAGAGAGAAACGCTTTAAACAAAGAAGTAGCTGTTCGAAGGCACATTACCTTGCTATGCCATAGTAAATTTAGGTTTAACTTTAGCAACTCTAAAACTAGCAAAGCTTCATGAAACTTTTCAGCTCTACAGAGTTAGTAAAACTTGATGAAAGACTATCATGAGCAGGGTTCTGCCCACGGTGGGTGGCGGTGGGCGGGTGTGCCCGGCACTATATATCTCCGCCCAGCACTAATTTTTGATTAAAAAAAGAAAAGGAAAGAAAAGTGATATATGGGCTTTTTATTGCTCAGAATGCAGGAAATTGAGTTTCAGACTATCCAAAATCAAAAATTTTCCGGGGGGCATGCCCCCGTACCCTCCTAGATTGGCTTCGCGCCTACGGCGCTTGCATCTTGCGACTTCGTCGCAATTGGATGCGCCCGGCACTAAAAAATCCTGGGCAGAACCCTGATGAGTCTAAACTAATAGTTCATCACTAATTACTATCTCGGCTCTATGGCATCGGATCATAAGCTGATTAAACCAACATGGGTTAGTGCAGTGGGGCTCTGTCCTGTAGAGAATGTCCGGGCCCCCACTTCACACATTTAAAACTAGCAAAGCTTTATGTTGCTTTTTAGGCTGAAGATTGCATTATTCAGTTGAAGACGTGGTTGTTAGAGCAATGCAAGCAGCATGAGAGCAAGAAGCTGCCTGCCTTAACAGAATTATTGGAGGACAGCAACAAACAGTTGGGCTTCATCATTAGTGAACGCTTTGTCAACATTCCACCACAGATTGCTGTTCCTACATATGAAAGTTTGCGGTAAGCTTAATATAGCAGGACCATATAATTAAGACGTCTGACTGGTTGTATATGTTGAGTGGTCTGGCTCATATTAATGTTAAAATCGTATTATGAATCCTGGATCTGATTATGCATGTATTGTCTGAACTTTTTCTCTTTTGATATAGGCAAGACATGGAACGTGTGAGCAAAAAAGGCATGAAGTATAGTTTTGACAACTATCTCATGATCTGTAAGAGTTACAAGCCCATTAAGAAATTAGAGACGATGGTCCACACAGGAAAACCTAATACCGAGACTGACACAATATATTCGAATGCTGAAGAAGAGTTATTTTTGAAGGTGAGTGTTATGTCAATACCTAAAAAGTTTTTAAGTAATTAAAAACATGAAATGACAAAATGTGTGAGATGGCAAATATGCAGATATACCTATATGTATGGATTAGACTTCATAAATATATCTTATGTTGTATCTGGTTTGACCCATCAACCAATCAATCATTCAATATTCACAAATGTGTTAAACCTGAAGCATGAATACTGACATTTTTTTATAACTGCACAATTTAATATTTCAGTTATGTGATTTAAATCTTAAATTGTTGCCAAAGCATTTTTACCACCCAAAATGTGTGTTGTCTCTCATCTGTTACCTCAGGAAGCATTGATCCGAATTGACTTTCCGATTGGTGAGGAGAGTGAAACAGCCCTAGGAGGCAAGTGGTCAGCTGATGACCAGGAGTATAGAGCACATCGGACAGCCATCATCTTCTCTAGAACATCACTGGATACTGTTTTGAAGGAAATGAAGGGCTTGTTTAGCCACCCACAGTAATGATAATTGTGTTTGAATATATGTTATCAATAGTCAATGTATAAAGTTTCATTTTGTAATACATTTGTCACGATTGTGGGCACTAAAATCACAATAAGTTATTAGTAGTCAGGCCCGTCCCAAGCTTTTCAAAAAGAGGAATGGCATGACAGAAGTACTTGAAATTTTCTGTGAAATAATGGGCGTGAAGTCCCTCATGACCGGTGTCCAGGGCCTGCTTAAGGGCCCTTGAAACTCAGGGGTTTTAGATGCTCTCTGGTGCAATCTGAGCCTTATTTATGACCAATATTTTCAGAAATAATTTTGGTTGAGTCAAGAATCATGAGCTTTGTGCATAAACTCGCGAAAATATTGGCTATACGCTAACATTTGCGCAATGAATTGACTTGCTGGCTAAATAACTAATTCCCGGGGTAAACTGGAAAAAAGGGGGGTGAGACCGCACCCATCACACCCTCCTCTTTGGACGGCCATAGTGTATGCTAAATCGCATAACTTGCTCTGCATACACATCACAGCTTACACTATAAATGAATGTTTCTGGGAATTTTAAAATATAAAAAAGGAATAATGGTACACTATAACCGCGTTCACACGTAGCAAGAAATCCGGTATTTAGCGTTCACACGTAGCAAGAAATCCGGTATTTAGCGTTCACACGAGGCAAAATACGAGGCCCAAGGTATCTAAACAGATCCGGTATTTCATGTAAATACGAGGCTTCCCAGACCCCGAATAATTTGCCGTGCTTGAGAAATACCGGATTTCTTGGACAGCGCATTTCCTCGTGTGAACGCTAAATACCGGATTTCTGAAGCCGCGTATTTTATAGACTGGTCCGCGCTCGACAGTTCTAGTGTAACGCGAGTGGAACTGTCGAGTGCGGACCAGTCTACGTATTTTATCGGCAGTTGGTGCACATTGCATTGTTTATTTCGCATTGTTTGCTTGATTGTTACTAAAGCAGCTCGCAGCTCGCAAATACCGTATTTCTGGAGCCGCGAATCAGCGTGTGAACGCTCGGCCGCGTATTTGTCTCAGATACGGTATTTCGCAAATCCGGTATTTTAGAAATACGAGGTCTCGTGTGAACGAGGCTTATATTGACAGCCTTTCTAACTTGTTCTGGTGTTATATAACATAAAAACATACATTTATATATAAAATGTCGAAAAACTACGCGTTACCATAACATGATAACAACTGTCCTAACTCCAAAATGTCTATAAATTTATGATATGGAAATATTAAAGTGGCATACTCCGTATTAATTCTTGTCTCCTTTCAGTGAAAGTAGGTAGGGTATAAAAAAAGATTGTGGTATTTGTTATTTTTTCTGGTTATTTACTATAAGTTAAATGTATATATATATATGTACTATATATATATAAATATATATCCAACACATACTCACTTACTGACTTACTGACATACTGACATAATTTTCTTCGGCTCATCTCGTGCGTTCAAAATAGCGAGTGGCGAGCCCGCGACAGATGTGCATGGTAAAATCCTATCTACAAAATTCGCTGCTTGCCGCATCCCGTCACAATTCTTCACCTATGCTAATGTACATATAAATGGCGCTCATGTCTCTCGTCACGGTTGACAGCCAAGATAATCTTCGTCAGCCGATCGTATGCCTTCGCGTGCATGTCTCTCTCTCTCTCTCTCTCTCTCTCTCTCTCTCTCTCTCTCTC